CGTGAAGCTACGTATCATGGCTATGTTTCTTCATCCCTAATTTGAGGAGAGAACTACACTTAGTAACATTCTAAAACTAACTTCCTAAAAACGATTTAAAATACCATACCAAAGTATAGAGTGTAATTTCTTATAACTTTTTGTAGTTGCTCTTTTTGTCTTGGAAACAAATTCAGCAATGGATAAGTGAATCTATAGAACTGCCTAGTTATATCATCAATAATACGCGTGTGCCCCCTTTCACGTCCATAGTTGAACATAGGCCTCCTCCAAACGTCTCCAGTTCTCGCGGTTTTAGCTGTTGCAATCCAGTTAGTTGTTATACGTTTCAGGTCGTCGGTCCATCGGTTGGGAGGTCTGCCTTGGCTACGCTTGTCGGCTCTTGGTCTCCACTCTATAAGTCCTTTGGTCCATCTCCCGTCTGCCATTCTAGCAATGTACTCGATCTCTCAAAGTCAGGCCAATCATAGATTTCTCCATCCGCCTCTCTGTCACTCTCAATTTTTCTGCGGTTGCTTTTGTTAGAGTGAGTGTCCCTGCGCCATTTACTTCTAAAAATTCAACTCAACTGTCATCGTCTGGAATTAATTTAACCAATTGTACTGTTAATTTATTAAGTTGCAATCACTGAAAAAAATGATCTCTCAGTCGAAATGAATATGACTTTCAAAACTTTGACCCAAAAGATTGGCGCTTTTCAATAGGCCAAGAACGACGTTTCTTTACCCAAAGCATTAACTATCTTTTCAGAAGCTTTAAAAAATGATTTCAGAGAATAGAAGAATCTAACTGTCCAAAGTATTTCACTCCTGACCCAAAATTAATATGCAAAGAAGTTCTTGCTACAAGAACAATAGTCTCTTTGATTCATGCAAAAATTTTGATTGAAAAGGCACATTTCTGATTAAAGAGACATTTTCTTAAACCAATAGCGAAATACCATTGACTCAACTAAAATTTATTTGGATCTAAGAGAAGTCTATACATCATACACATGCATATACTGACATATTACGAGGTATATTAATTTCTGATAAATTTAGGTTTTCCTGGTCTGTAATAAGTAAAGTGATATTATTTTCCTCGACAGTAGTTATCTCTGCTTCTTCACTCCTTGTTCCTTGGTATTTTTTGGGTTCATCACTCTACAAAATTACAAAAAAAAATACATCAATGATTAATCAAAGCAAAGCAAATAAATTATCAAAATTAAAAAATTATAAGCTTTGGTCACATTTTTGAATTTTTTAATACGACGACTTGAAATTTAAATTTTGTAATTATTTGCATAAAAAAAACCGATACCTATATTCTTATTCTATTTATAGTCACACATGCATTATCTAAACAGGTGCATTAGGTAAATGTCTCTTTACCTTCAAATATAAAGTAAATAAAATGCTCTAATTTCCATTTTTTCAGAACTCCTTTAAAGAATCCATATATCCCAAAAATTTTGTCCATAAAAAATGACAAATGCATGTTAGTAACGACTACTAATTTGTTATACGATAATACGCAAATTATGCAAAATTCTAAGTGGAAAATTCCAAGCAACAAAACCCGTGCGTACTATGATGTGCGACCTATGAAATGCGACGTACGACTGATCGGACTGCCGACTGATTGTATATGTAGGGTAAACCATACTTGTTGTTGGCCCTCTGACAGTGATTGGCCTTTTCCTTTTAAAATAATTTTAAATTGTTTCGTGTAAACATGACTCAAATGACGGTTATGTTTTTGTATTGCGTAAAATGTGCTTAAGCAAAGTTCCCGCCAAAATATACCTGTTAATAGTTCTCCAATCTCTGTGAATGAAACAGTGTGTTTATGGAGGTGCCAATTCGTAGCCATTTAATTTGAAGCAAGTAAGTGCTGCCACTACTTTAATCTTTAATTTACATATCAGAACATAAACAATAATTGAAGTTTTCATTATAGAAGTTTAACTAGTGCATATTTATGTAAATTTCTTGCTATTAATAACCTAAAAGTCGTTTGTAACCTAAAATTTTACAGGGCCAATTACTGTGTAAATAATTCTTGTCTGACACATAGTTATTGGCCGGCCGGCCAATAACTATAGCTTTTGATTAGACTTATACTGTGATGTTTAAATATGATATTTTATATTAAAAAAAAAAAAAAAACCTTTTAAATTTATTAGTAAATTTGTTTTTTGTGGTTTCTATTAGTTGTTGGCCACTGCCAATAACTGTCAAGATAGACGGGCCAATAACTGTCTAAAGGAAAATAATAAACTTTTGTGACAAGATTCATCTTTTAAATTTCAGAATGCCAAAAACAGCACCCCAAGAATCGTACACAAAAAAGTATTCAGAAGAGAGTTTGAATAAAGCCATCGAAAAAGTAAAAAATGGCATGCCCAAATGCACAGCTTGCAATAAATACAATATACCTAGGGCTACTTTACAATTTAGACTCTCAGATAAATTCACAAAATCATCCCATGGACCCTCACCCATACTGAGTAGCCAGGAGGAGGACCTATTAGTTAACTGGATAAAAGATTGCCAAAGAAAGGGGTTTCCTCGAAGAAAGGAAGATATTCAAACATCTGTCAAGCAGTTCTTAGACGAATCGCCCCGTGAAAACCCCTTCAAAAATAATTTACCGGGAGAAGGATGGTACAAAGCATTTATGAAAAGGCATCCTGATTTAACAACAAGAAAATCTGAGGGGGTATCTGTTGCTTCCTCCGCCATCAGTGAGCAAGACATAAGAAAGTGGTTTCGCGACATACATTCTTATTTAAATGAAAAAGGATATGACGAAGTTCTTGAACACCCAGAAAGACTTTTCAATGCAGATGAGACGAATTTTCAATTATGCCCGCAAAATAAAAGAGTAATTTACTTTGGGGCACTAAAAATGTGTATGAGGTCGAGTCGGGTAAAACAAAGACGACATTGACAGACAGTACTATTTACTTTTAGTGCTGCAGGAACTTATACATCGCCATTAATAATATTTCCTGGTAAAAGACTTCGCAAAGAAATAGGCGACTCGATACCTGAAGGATTTACGTTTGCGACCAGTGATACAGGATGGATGTGGTTTATGAATATGTGGTCAACAGTTTCTATCCCCATCTGCAAAAGTTAGGCAACCAGTTTCCTGTAATCCTCTTTGTCGACGGCCATAAAACTCATATTGACCGAAAATTAAGCAAACCCTGTGTACGAATTATAGATATTATTCTAATTGCCTTTATCCTAATTCACCACGCATCAACTCCAACCAGCTGATGTGTCAACATTTAAGCCGCTAAAAGATGGCTGGCGAAAAGGACTTCTAGAGTGGCGGAAAAGTCATCCGTCAGAGGAACTAACAAAGAAAGAATTTGCCGGATTGCTAAAAATGGTCATTTCAAAATCAGTCCGCCCAGATATTATAATAAAATGGCTTTAGAGCATGCGGATCATACCCTTGGAATTCAAACTCAATCGATTTTAGTAAATGTCTCGGAAAAAAGAATGCAGAAACCATTACCGTGCCGCAAATCAATGACGTAAAACATTTTACCTTTTACGCAAGTTTTAGGAGATATTTATAGGCCAGAATAGAGTTAATTTGTTTACACAAATGAACGAGCAAATTAAACTTGAAACCGATGAAAACAGAGTTTTATACCAACTTTGGAAAGAATTCAAATATTCAAACAGTAAAGAAATACACAAAGCTTTTCTTTCTCCCGAAAACTTAAATAACAATGTACTAACAGAAGAAGGAACACGAATGACTGATGTAAAAGATTGTGAAGTACGTGGCTCCAACAGAATGGTAGTTGATGGAAACCAAAACGAAGATGTGGAAATTTCAAACCAAAACGTATTGAACATTTCGGATATTGTTAATATATCGGAGCTAGATATCTTGAGTACCCCCATTTTAATAGAAAAAGACAACGATGACGTTTGGCATGAAATTATAATAGATAGTCCTCAAAAATCTTATGAGATACCTAAACAAAGTCTAAAGGAAAATATCCTAAAAAATGCAGTAGAAATGCTTACTGAGGAAAGGACAGCCTTTGGTTTTTATTTGCCTAACAGCATCTAAAAAGGTTAAATCAATATTTGTAGCTATCCCAATACGGGCCCGCAAAGAAAAGGAAAGAAGATCAAAGATCTTCTTTCATATTGTCGTCATCAAGTGGGAAAAAATTTAAAGCTGAAAAAAGAGGCAGAAAATACAGTAATGAGCTTCACAAGAAAACAGAAACAGAAGAAAAAGAAGAGTGAACGGAAAAAAATGCACGAGAAAAGGCTCTCCTCGAAAAGAAAGCAAAACGAAAACCGAAAGATAAAAAAGGACCAAAGAAGATTAAGCTCGATAAATAATAATAACAACATCATTAGGAAAAACTAACCCCAAAAAAAATACTACAATATGGCCATAGAAACAGAAATAATTCATTAATAACAAAATTAGTTGACCCTGATGAGGATTTCAGTTATGATGTTCTTCCGTATTCAAATGACAAAACGATAGGACAAAGACTTGTGGAATACCCTTTGAAACACCTAGAGGATCTTTCAGCAGGTAATACTGAAGTACAAAAATACACGAAGTCACGGAAACAGAAAGATAAATATATAGAAAGACACTAGGACTGTGACACGCAAAATTAATATCTTATCACACCACGTACTGAAACCGTCGACAAAGAAACAAAAACTTCTGAATACAACAAGAAAACTGGAATTTGGCGAATTTTCAGAAGACTTAAATAGAAAAAAAGGTGGAAAGATAGATTCGCAAGAACTTTATAAAGCCGTAGATCCAAAAATGGATGAAGAGTTAATTTTTGTTCGGAATAATTTAAACACCGGAATTTGTTTTTTCTTGTAGCAAAAAAATATTACTTTTTCACAATTAGGAGTTAAATGTAATACATGTACCAGGTCTTATAATTAGTTTGTATTAAAGAAAAACAAATATTTTTTTTTTTTTTTTTTTTTTATTTTTTAATGTTTTGACTTTTGAATTTTAAAAACGTTTCGTTGATCGTGTTTGATTTATTCATAAACATTAGTTATTGTGGATTGACTTTTTTTTTTTTCCTTTCTTCGTTTTCCTTAGCTACGAAAATGTCGGCCAATTACTGTATGAGTTATGGCCAATAACTGTAATGAAATGGCCAATAGCTATATTTTTGGTTATTTTTACCATTTATTGAAGTTTTTTCCTACAAATTATCCATAAAATACTTTAAAAGGCGCTTTTATAATTTTTGTCAAGAAACAACTTGGTTTTAGGTGATTTATAAGAAATAAAAATATGAAATAACGCATCAATTGCTTTTGTTTTTAATCAACCTTAAAACCCGCAAATAATTTTTAAGGGCATACTATTCTTTACCTATATAGGTCTCCGTCACTTTCGTCATCGTCTTTGGTGTCTTTATTATTTTTGATCAAAAGAGTAATTTAGCTATTGGAAAAACTGCCATGTTTCTTGAATGAAGTACTTCCTACCGTATTTTTCTTATTATCTTAAACAAAGTAACTTGCAGCTTCATTGAAATGAAAATAGATTTCAAGAGAAATTTTTCGAATTTTTCAAAGAGAACCAGTTTTCTTGAGTTTTGAAGAGAGTTTTTCTCAGGCAAAATATTTTCTTTTACGCTAAACTCACACATCTCTCACGGTTGATCACTCAAACTTTTTATTATCGCAAAAACGATGACGACCTTAGTTCAAGGTCTATCTTTTATATAGTGAGAATTTAATGTATGTTTACACACTAGAATAAACGTATTTTTAGGTACCTTTTTTTGCTTGTTTCTTATTCTCTCTCACATTGTTGCAGTGGTTATAGATATCAAATGCCAGATAGGGTGCAATGAAACTTTTTATAGGAAAGCTTTAAAGAAGTTAGATTTTTACATGTTTAAGTCTTTTTCTAAAAAGACTTAATATTTTTTTTTTTTTTTATATTTCTATAAAAAACTGGCCTTTTATTAGTGAACCATTTTGAAAAAAGACTTTAGAGTCTTAAGTCTTATAAGTCAGCTTTCGAAAAATGACTTAAATTCAAAATAATTAAGTGTTGTATGTAAGCAGTGATTTAAATTTAGAATGGTAAGAAAAAAAGAACTTAAGTTTTACTGAGATTGAGCTCTTATTACTTATAACTATCCATATCTGATAAATAAGCTTTTTTTTGCCTCGCTTTTTTCTTAAGAATTATTTCTATATGAAGATGTTTATGTTATATAAGCAAAAAGGGATACTCTCATCTTTGTTTGAGTTCCAATAAATATACTTCCACTGTCCTCGTAATACGAACAGCACGCAAGAAGAAAAACAAAACAGAATTAATAGATATTTTTTTCTAGTAATCCTCCAACTTGCCAATAAAAGTCCCATCAACATCGATTCAGCCGTTTGAGAGATTAGATCAAAAGAATTGACAGACAACGAGAGCCCTTACCTAAGCAAATAATGCAGTGGACTTGATGAAGAACGTATATTATTTTTGAACTTTAAAGTAAGTGCCACGTAGGCATAGTGACTAAGATAAAATTCGCGAATCACAGAAATTCAATTTGTTCGGACTTTTTAAGTGTACGTTGTTTGAAATTCGTAATAAAAAGGCTATACTCTATACAACTATTTACCCTAATATTCGAGGGCAGGAAGTATTGTTACGCCAGTAGTGACGTGTAGAGTTTTTAAAAATGTTTTTTTTTTTAAAGAAGATTTTCTAAACTACAAATTAAAATATTTTTAATTTAATTAACAATGTGATAAAATAAATAAGAAGATCAAGGAGTATCAAAGTTTCTTTAATTTTAACGTGGAATAGCGTCTCTGTTATTACCTTTTCTTTCTATAACCGTGCGTACTCAAAAGTGGCTCCTCCTATAGGACTTATTATTTTTCTGGATAAAAAAGCGAGATTTGGTATTATATATGACAGGCTAAATGTGGGGATTGATTGACGTAATTCGTTATTGTTTTTGGTGTCATTCCTGTTTCATAAGAAATTACTACAACTTTGATTTTTAATAGGACGCACTAAGGAATTTTTTTTACTTTATTTGATAGAAATTGAATGAATTCTGAATAGAGATGACATATCATATGTAGCTTTTGACACGCGGCTTATAAAATAGTATTTAAAATTTCAAACAGTGCCATGGCTATGTTTAAATCACTAATTCTTAATCAAGGAGCCTCGGAAAAATAGATTTGACCGTCTAAATATTTTTAGTCTCTTGACCTGGCAGATTAAAAGATGCCAGTCGTATTTTTAATGCATATTCATCAAGTTGAAAATGGAACGAGGGTGGCTCTTAGCATATTTGGAAAAGTATTTTTTACGAATATTGATATGATCATATGGTATTTTGAGGTTCATTTTTTGTAAAATAAACGCATAATGCGAAAAGTGTCAAAAGGAAAAATATAAAATTGAAAAAAAATATGGGTTTTCATTTCCCCCCACTGGTATATATTATTTCAGAGTGTTATTTTCTATGATAAAATAAAAAAGAAAACACCTAGGGTGCCATTTAAAAAAATCAAAAGTTTGTTCTCCGGTGAAACAGGAAAGTACTCTCGAAAATAATTGAATACGTCAAATCAGACCTAATTTATGTCATAGAACGACTAAATACCAAATCTCGTTTTTTTTTAACTGAAAAATAAAAGTTACTAGAGGTGAGTCATTTTGAAAGACGCCACCCGTATATCGGCACCGTTTTTTGAAATATTTGCGATTTTTAAATCACTAGCAATTTTAATTGCTTAATTCGTAGTTGTTTTAATAATATAAATTGCTTTGATTTTTTTATTATTTATTAACTATGTGTTATTGTGTAGCATTAAAATTAATACTAACCTATACAGAGTCTTCTAAAACTGTATTTTAATAATGTACTGTTATAAACCAAAATATTCTTA